AATATCATCCCAGGGGCCACTGAAAACATTCTCGCGGGCCGGATTTGGCCCGCGGGCCGGCACTTTGACATCTGTGCTGTAGAGGAAGGGTGCCCAAACTTTTTTGACGGAAGATCTACTTTTCGAACAACCAACCTCTCGCGATCGACCCGTTACCGCACACGCGTGCATACGCACACACTTACACACGCATGCCATAATGAGCAATGGCCATAACGGCCGCTAAGATGAACGAGGCACGGGACACACTTTAGAAGAGTGCTAATTATCGTAGCTCACGTGTACCGTTTAAAAATGCTTCTCTTGGCCGCCCAGATTAACATTCTTAGCAAAAACCCTCGGTGAATTGAACATGAAAGGCAGCTGTTTTTTTTGTTTGTTTGTTTGTTTTGTTTGGGTTTTTTTTTTTTTACAACAGCCCCCTGACTGACATCCGGCCCTGCTAATAGAAACGTGTGTCGCATGCTATGACACAAATATTCGCTGACGAAATTTGACATTTAATATTTATTCGACACGGATTTTTACAGCATCGGAAAACGGTAATGTTTGTGTCATGTTTGTCCTCTGACAGAAACCATATTAAAACAAAAAAATATATATCCCTCCCATCTTTTTCCATTTTCAAATATTTTTGAAAAAGCTCTAGGGAGCCACTGGAGGGCGCTAGAGCCGCATGCGGTTCGAGAGCCTCGTGTTGCCGACCCCTGCAATAGAACAATCAGATTTGATGAGCCAAATTGATTTGCTATACAGTCTTCTAGAATCGTTGAATCCTTGAATGTAATCACACCCCATATATCGACAATCTATCGATTTGTCCAAATATACACCTGATATAGATTGCTTTGAAGTCACTTTTAATTTGTTGTTGTTTTTTAATGTAATTTACAAGGATAGTTTGGGCTTAACTTTTATATGGTCTTACATATTAATAAAAATGACCATATTGAATCTAATAGTAATTCCAGTAAATCAAAATAAATCAATACATTTTAAAACCGTTACTTCCTTGAATCGTATTGTATGTTGAGAATCGTCTCAAATCGTCTTGTGTGGTAAGATGCACAAACCTAACTGAACCCATTCCCAACCTCTTGTCTTGTTTCAAGTACATTGGTAGCCAACAAACATAGTTGGCCAATTTGTTTTCGGAAAAAAAAGAAAAAAAATCAAGAAAAGCCTGCTTGCCTTTACCCGACCTTTGTGTATGACACTGACCGGTGTGACTGAAAAAAAAAAAGGAATAAATAAATTAGCAAGCGCATTGGTATTTTTTATTGATATTGTGACCACAGTTCTAAACTTGTTTTAAACACCATTCGACATTCAAAGCAGTTTTTGTTTTCATTGCTTTTAATTTGCCAATTTGAAAGCATTAGTACTCATGACAAAGATAATTATAGAGTAATTCAACATTTTATTAAGATCCATCCGTCAATCCATTTTCATCGCTTATCCGAGGTCGGGTCACAGTGGCAACAGCTTTAGCAGAGAGGCCCAGACTTCCCTCTTCCAGCCACTTCCCGGGTGATCCCAAGGTGTTCCCAGGCAAGCCGGTAGACATAGTCTCTCCAGCGTGTCCTGGGGTGTCCCCGGGGCCACCTGCTGGTGGGACATGCCCAGAACACCTCACCAGGGAAGTGTCCACGAGGCATGCCCAAGCCACCTCGTCTGGCACCTAGAAATTCTGTCCATTAAGGTTGTGAACAGAATTGGTGACAAAGGGCAACCTTGGCAGAGTCCAACCCTCACTAGGAACGAAAGCAACGCGAACGAAACTCTGATATCGGTGGTACAGGGACTGAACAGATCATAATAGGAGGTCTGGTATCCCATACTCCCAAAACACCCCCCACAGAACTCCCAGAGAGACAAGGTCGCACCCCTTCTTCAAGTACACAAAGCATATTAGATTGGTTGGGCGAACTCCAGTGCACTGCACCCTCGAGGACCCTGCCAAGGGTATAGAGCTAGTCCTCTGTTCCGCTGCTCTTCCTGAATCTGAGATTCGCCTTCCCGACAGACCCTCCTCTCCAGCACCCCTGAATAGACTTTACCAGAGAGGCTGAGGAGTGTGATCCTTCTGTAGTCGGAGCATACCCTCTGGTTGCCCTTCTTAAAAAGAGGGACCACCACCCCGGTCTGCCAATTCAGAGGCACTCTTCCAGATGACCATGCGATATTGCAGAAGCGTGTCAACCAGGACAGCCCCACAACATTCAGAGCCTTGAGGAACTCCAGGCGGATCTCATCCACCCTCGGAGATTTGCCACTGAGAAACTTTTTAATCATCTCTGACTTCATCCCCAGAGATAGGAGAGACCATCTCAGAGTCCCCAAACTCTCTTTCCTCTAAGGAAGGCATGTTGGTGGAGTTGATGAGGTAATCTGACGTACTCTGCCCACCAACTCACAATGTCCCGAGTCGAGGTGAGCAGCGCCCCATCCGCACTATACACAGCGTTATGTTAATAGTGCACTGCTTCCCACTTCTGAGTCATCGGATGGTGGACCAGAATTTCCATCCGGAAGTCTGCTTCCATCGCCTCACCAAACTCTTCCCATCCCATGAGTTTTTGCCCCAGCGACTGCTGAAGCCGCGTTCCACTTGGCCGAACAGTACACATCAGCTGCCTCTGGAGTCCCACAAGCCAGAAAGTCATTATAGGACTCCTCCTTCAGCTTGACAGCATTTCTCACTGCCGGTGTCTACCAGCGGGTTCGGGGGTTGCCGCCACGACAGGCACCAACCACCTTATGGCCACAATTCTGATCGGCCGTGTCAACGATAAAGGCGCGAAACATGGTCCACTTGGACTCAATGTCTCCCGCCACACCCCGGGATGTGGGAAAAGCTCTGCCGGCAGGGGGAGGTGAAACTCCTTTTGATAGGGGATTCTGCCAGATGGTGGTTGGGGACCACTACTCTAGACTATTGTGTAAAATACACACATTCACGCTGCCAATAGGCGTATGTGACACCATCTAGCATTAAGGCATAGTTTTTACTGGAAATTTAGGAGTCACTGCAAATGTTGCAAATGACCGAGAACAAAACATAGTGTAGAGTTGCACATCGTTTGCTTTTGAACAATTCCAGTTCCTTGTATTGATTCTGGTTTCAAATGATTCTCAATTTTGACGGGGTGTCTAAACTATGCCATTCATTTTAGTGTCTCGCTTCACAGACTAAAACCCCTGACATTTGCCTGCATTGTACTACAGCACACAGCCTCCGCACTGAGTGACATGGTAGGAGAACAGAAGTTTGTTATCATCTCGCAATTCCTTGTTTTTCAGCCAGTCAACATTTGATAGAGCCACCTTCCATGCTAAAATCTTGAAAAAAAATATCACTGTTTTGCTTTATTACCTGACAGTTTTTTTTCAACTATACAGAATGAATATGAAAATAAACATCGCTGCAAATATCGTAACCTACACTGAGGAATTGTCTCCAAATTGATTTATCAATTTCTCATAAGGTTATTTTTAACCAGTTTTGTAAAATGTATTACTTGAATTCCCGAGTTATTTTTTTTTTTTTACTCTCACTGAAGAGCTTTATTTGATTTTTTTCACAACATGAAAATAAATTCACATTAGTGTAAATTACACTACACTGAAACCCCACTGATGGGCTAACACGAGGTGTAGACAAAAGCAGAGCTATTTGGTAATGCAGTTCACATGAGCAGCAGGTACAGCTTGTGTTTGCATGTTGTGGACAGGCCCATGTACGTAAATTTTGTACATACGCTAATGTTAGCTGGTTATTTGCATTTGAGTTGGCCCTCCGTTTTGTTGTCAGATACGTCAGTTTTGGCAATAGACGCATGTTGGTTAACCCACCAAATTATGAAAGTTCAGCGCGTTGCAGGCTTTAGCTCAAAGGAGGAGGGAGCACCAAGCTCGTTAGACACAGCACTCTGTTGATGTAGACACGTCATACAACCTCCTTTGCACAATATAATCTTATAAGTGTTGCACTGAGGCAACTCATAATTTAGTTCAACAAAGTTAAGTCACACTTGTGATCGGTGTCGGGTGCACCTGTGCACGCACTTCCCCTTCATTGGTCTCTTCTCGTCGGCGGACGAGGTATACTAGCGGGGAACGAGAAATTTAAAGTGCGAACAGTTCCGGGAGAATAGTCCTGGCTCCAATCAATTCTCAAGACTTGACGCCCAACCCAACGTATACTGGATCTGACTAACACAATTGCCAAACAAATCACTAACGGCTGCATAGTGAGCAGGGCAGTAGCCCTCAAGTAACAGGACTGTAGACCCCGGATGTATGCAGTCAGGTTAACCTACACAGTGACTCCACCCCATAAAATATATGCAGTAAAAATAATTTAGTCAACAACATAAAGAGCATCAAGACTAACCTGTGTGTGTCTTCACATGACAATCCAGAGTAGATTTCACTGTAAAACTCTTCCCACATTCATCACACTTGTACGGTCTTTCTCCTGTGTGAATTCGAATATGCCTAGACAATATAGGTAGAAGTTTGAGAGTTGAGTTGTGCTTCTGGGTTCTCTCTACAGTTAAAAATCAACAGTGGCGAACATTTAGACATGGGGGGGGAAAAAAACAAAAAGAAGTGAAGCCAATAAATATGCAAAAAAATATGTGGAGTTTGGTGGCACAGTCACAAGCCTTTTCTTTTTAGCATGCATTAAAGTTCGTATAAGCTTTGCAAACCAATCTTAAATTATATTTCGAAGTTTGGGTTATTTCTAATTCGATCATGCAACCTTCCATTAATGACTGACTTTAATGTGCTGTCTGGCACATTATCTGCCTACCTGCCTACTTATTTATCTAAACCCATCCACTTGCCAAACCAATCCATCCACCCATCCTCTGAATCACTTATGCGCACAAGGGTTGCGTGCGTGCTAAAGCCTACCCAAGAGGCGGAGTACATCCTGAACTGGCCGCCAGCCCGTCGCTGACATTTCAAATTATATCATTCTATTCATGCTTTGTTCATTACGCTGCAGTTTTATTGTGGGCCCCAGTGCCACATGTTGATATAAGAATTAGCACCGTGGTATTAAAATGGGGCTCATTACCTGACAAGGTCACTGGGCTTTTTGAAGCTCTTGGGGCAGAAAGTGCAGCAATTTGCAAACTTGGGTTCTGTCTCCAATACCACCGCCTTGTCCTTGATCTCGCTGATGCGATCCCTCTCGGCTGCAGACTGGGATAGGATTCGCTCTGACACGGATGCCTCCTCACCGGGATCCTTTGCTAGCTCTGCTGCCTGTTCCTCTGTGAAAGTGATGATTTCCATTCCCCGTCTCTTCGATGTTTTTTGATCCCCTTCATCTTCTTCATCTTCATCCTCTTCCACATCTCGACCTTCCAAACCAATAACTGAGGCAAAAGAAGACAAAGCTCAAAGTACCAGCACAAACAAATTTACACATACACTGCGCACATTATTTACTGCATACTGACAATATCTAAAAAAAAAAATTACATATATATATATATATAATGTTGACTTCAGATATGCTAAATTTTGAGTGACATTTCAGAAAGGTTTATATGTGACAGTATGTTTATTATTGGAGTCATTGATTGCAGTGGTGCAAAAATAGTTTGCCTCCGTCATTTAGCTAAGTCAGGTAACCAAACTCTCAGCATGAATATTTAACATGAATCAATACACTACTTTAATTCAATCAACTAGTTACAACTTATCGGCTTGTCCCATCGGGAGTCGCCACAGCGAGTCACTGGCAGCAGTTGTTCAGAAGTTTCTCTGACCTATGCCCTTCCTGACGCAACCCACCCATTTTTAATTTCTTTTTTTAATACTTTTTTTTTTTTAATTGAGGTTTTGAACAACAGAAGTGGCTCGAAATCAAACTCACAACGTCTGCAGGAAAGGCATCAGATTGAACAGATACTTTTGCACTTCATTTCAATCAACTATTGCATACCTAATGAATCATAGTTTCTCCTTTTTCTGTAACTTGAAGTGACAATGTTGTGGACCCACGTTACTTACTTTGATCCTCTATCGCATGCTCCTTTCTCATGTGCTTTTTACAAAGCAGGCTTGTCCTGAAGCTTTCATCGCATGTGGAGCATTTGAATGACTTGACATGGATAATCATGTGGCGGTTCAGGCTGCCATTAGTTGTGAAGGAGGCATCACAAACGTTACACTTGAAGGGCTTCACTCCTGTCATTGGGGATGAATGGCATGAGAAGGATGTGTTGAAATGTGTCTACGTTCCCTTTGAAACTAAGAACTTTGATTTATGACATACTGTAACCCATTTTAAAAAGACAAGATTTTGTCTCCAGGAATGCAGTGAAATTTCTTGAAGAGAAATTGCATTTAATGGCTGATTTTTGGAAGCAACGGTCTAACAGTGCCAAACGGAAAATTTCAAATCAAACGTAAGGCGTTGCAGAGTAAGGGGGGAAAAGGGATATTTGGCAAGCCGGACTAAAATGGAAATAAAACATTTAAATGTATCAATTTAAATAAATGTTGAATTTCTCAACATTTATCAACACTCTTTAGAAACATACCTGTGTGTGTGTTCAGATGGGATTTCAACACCCCAGCTGATACAAAAGCTCGTCCACAGAGGTGACATCTGAAAGGCTTCTCCCCAGTATGGGAGCGCAAATGCTGTTTAAGATGACTTGACTTTTTAAAGCCTTTGTTACACCACGTGCACCTAAAGAGTTGAGAAAAAAAAATCCTTGTAGTCCCATCAGCTAAAAAACATTCACAAAACCAAACATCTCCATATACTACTGTATGCTGTTTAGTATTTAAAAGAAAAGGAATACAATTGTATGAAAAACTGTAGTATAGTGGTGTATGTTGTACAATCAGGCATGTTGACTTAAAAATGGTGTGTGAAAAATATGGAAATGTGGAACCACCTACCGGGAAAGAGCATTTAAAATATATACCAATAAAGCTGATCAGCTGTGTCAATGTTTCAAAAGCAAATGTTCTGAGAATGCTGAAAAGAATTGAATATAGTAAACTAGGGCCAGACTGATTAATTAGTAGCCCGATTGTAGCATATCACCAATTCATTGATTTTGGTCATTAGGTAACCGATGTATTAACTTCTTTTGTGGCACTGAGATTATTGTTGCACTGCTCTTGTATGTCTTTGCTGCAGTCTGACCAGTTGCCTGGTCTAACCGCTGGCTATTGTGTAAAAATAATTAAATAGACTAAGGAATTGGGTTAATACAAATATAGTCTTTGAACTTAAATAAAACTACGTTTATAATCTTGAGAACCACAACAATTAAACACCAAGTGAAAATCATTTGCTGCTGTAAATTAGGAATTTCTCCATTGGGAGACGAATAAAGGTTTTCTTATTTATTCTTATGATCATCGACTCTATTGAAATAGAAAGAGTGAATGAAAATCAATGTCTTGGTCTCAACGTATTTGATGCAAAACTATGCTGGACATAGAAAATTATTCAAAACTATCTGTGTCTGTTTTCCTTCCACATCTAAGATATCTGTGCGCTTAACAGCGACCCTCCAGACTTGTCGTTCTGTCTCCCCCATGTTAGTCTTGTCTATGTTACTCTGAACAGGTTATAAATGGAAAGGAAATTCCTTGTCTGTTTCTTGCCTACATACAATACAATACATCCTGATTTATATAGCGCTTTCACAACAGCAGGGCCAATAACTCTGATTCTGATCCTTTAAAAAAATGGTCCGACCATGTTTTTTTTTCTTCTTTCTGCCTAAAAAAAAAAATCAATAAAAAGTTAAAAAAAAAAAAAAAAGGTCCAGCTCTGAATTAAACCTGTACGCTCTCTTGCTGTTGTCTTCACAGTCCTCCTGGTAGTCGTGTGGCTCAGTGTCGAGTTGTAGTTCTCCCTGACTGTTCTGCTGGAGAAGCCCATTTGTCTAAATGGAAAAGACCAACAAAAATTCACACAACTCCATACAGACTCGCATGTGTAAAATACTTTCTTGATTATTAATTAAAAATCAATAGATAATGGTGCACATTGTCACTGGACGGAAACCGCCTGTCCAAATCTGGTTAATTTCATATTTTCTGACAAATCAATTCCATTCGTCAGTCTCCCCATGGGTCTGTTATGTAACGTGTTGAAAATAGCGTGACAACTAAACTGAAGATACACCGTCACAACAAAAGATGTAATTTGTTTAATTTCCTGAAAATAACTGGACATTCTAAGTTTTATCTTTATCAACTTTTAAGTTATGTAGTGATTCATTAGTGTCATTGAAACAAACAGCCAGCCTTCTGTCTAATCCTGATTAAAAGAGGCCATTAATCAAGCAAATTTTCATATTCATCAGCGACTTCATTTTATCTTAGGACTGTTCTGTATGCGGCATGTGTTTTAGTTTGTATAAAATGCAATGCATGAACCACTGTAAGTGACAGTGTTCAATGGAGACCAGAGGCTGAGACTCACCACTTCAGCATTGGAAACATGAAGCAAAGTCGGGGGAGGAAAGCTGGATGACAGGGCCTGAGACTCTAGCGTACTGGAATCCTGTAGCTGCTGGACAGTGGAGAACTGGCTTTGAGTGTAACTTGATTCTGTCATGGTAAAGCCTGGGGAGACCACATAGAATAAAGTTCAATATACGTATGGCGGGAACTCAGGAATACATGTGACACACTACCACTTTCAGTCAAAATGTCCACTTTGGTGTCCACGACTCTACAATAAAACATGAACAGAACATTCGTAAATAAAAAATGTACAGGTACATTTAATAAAAAATGCACAAGTACATTTAATATTAAAAAAACTACTCTATGGTCCCTATGTGAAAAAGTAATTGCTCCCCATTTTGAAATGACAAAGTAGCTCTGACTAACGACAGTTTTGTGAAAGCTGAATTCAAGTTCACAGGCAACACCCTCGCACCACATTTGTTGAATCAAGAAATCACGTAAAAAGAATTTGTCAGACAAAGTGAAATATGCTGCAATTTCTCAAGAAACAAACGCATCATGCCACAATCCGAAGAAATTCAAGAAGAAATTCGAAAAAAGTTATCAAAATCTCTCAGTCTGGAAAAGGTTACAACGCCATTTCCAAGACTCTGGGCCTTCAGAAAACCACTGTCAGAGCCATTATCCACAAATGGATAAAGCTGGGAACAGTGGCATACATTGCCAAGAGTGGTCGAACAGCTAAAATTACTCCAATAGTGCAACGACTCATCCAGGAGGTTGCAAAAGAACCTAGAACAACATCCAAGGAACTCCAGACCTCGCTGACCTCAGTGTCCACGACTCTACCATAAGAAAGACACTGGCCAAAAATGGCATCCAT